TCTGACTGTGTAGGCATCTATGCCACAGTCGCCTAGTTTTTTAACTAGGATGGGGTGAGAGACGGTGTCAAAGGCCTTGCTGAAGTCCAGAAAGACTACATCCACCGCGACACCTGCATCCATGGCCTTTGTGACCTGATCGTAAAAGGCAATCAGGTTGGTCTGACATGATCTCCCCCTAATAAATCCATGCTGATTGCCCCTGAGCATCGTTTCTGATGCTGGCCCATCACAAATGTGCTCCTTGATGATGAGTCATGAATATGAGTATGAATATCCTGAGCCATTCCAGGAACTTCAGCTGTTATTTCACTTCTCAGCTTAGTCTGGTTTCAGTTATTTCCTACACAGGTGGTTTGTAAAAAAGAAGATCCACAATATTAGGGACCTCTGAAATGCAGTGAAAGTAGCAATCAGATTTCCTAAAACATCTCATAGTTTGTTGTGTGTTAAATGTACTTGGAAGAAGAAAATGAGCGTTCTGTACGTAGGAGGCAAAAACTGAAGAAGAGTGTGGTAAAATACAGCATCTCTGAAGAGTTTGTATTATACCTGCTTACTGTACTTTCCTTTCTCTATCTCCAGCTTTCTTTGGAAAGTACCTTAATGAATATAATGGCTCCTATGTGCCTCCTGGCTGGAAAGAATGGGTTGGATTACTTAAAAATTCTCGTTTTTACAACTACACGCTCTGCAGAAATGGAGTAAAGGAGAAACATGGATTTGACTACTCCAGGGTAGGTCCTATTGCTTTACTTTGATTTTTACCCCCTTGGACATGATTGTAAGAAGGCTATATACACTTTCTGGATTCAGTCTGTTTAAAACTTTCTTTTCATATTTGAAAGCCATTGGTCATAAAACCAGCTTCAGTACATGAGGCAGGTCCTTCATACTAAATACCATCTCTTCATTTCTTTTGTGACATGTTATTTAAAATGTTCTTAGCAGCAATGGGAGCATAAGCTAGCCATCCTGAGACTGTAAAAGCTTCAATATGTCTTACAAGATGAGAAATGGATTTAATTGCATCGTGACTTGTATTCCACTGCCAGGTAATTCAATTAACAAATGTTGAGCCAGACTAAGGGCCGTTACACCAGTGTAAAACTTATTTCAGTGGAATGTAAATGAGATTTAAAAACTGATGCCCTCTACCTATAGGGTGTTTTTTTTTTGTCTTGTGTTTTATGTAAATTATTTATTTATTTATTTATTGGAGAGAAATCATTTCCTCATCATAGTAGGCTAATTTAGGGGAATCTGTGATACCATGAAATATGGTATATTCGTTCAGACTTTAGAAGGACATACATGAACGGTATTCCTGGAGTACTTGTGGTTGCACTTCACCTTGACTGAGCTCACAAAGTGTTGTGACACCCATACCCTGATGCAACTCCGCTGCTGCTTTTCTCATCTAAAACATTTTATAGCTCTCATAGATAAATGACTGCAAGTGAAGAGTATGTTTACTTGAGCAAAACATGTGCATTTGCCAAGGGACACAGCTTGTATGATTTTCTAAAGTAGGTTGCAGAGTCTGTGATTTATGTCTGTAAATAATTTATCAGTAAACAGCTTTGGTTAGAAAACTGGAACCTGAAAGAAATGGTACAAGAGTGAAAAAGGAGGGAAAGAAGTAAATATCAGCAAAATGACATCACCTACCTTTGGATTTACAAAGTGCTTAATTAATCATGTTAATTTTCACCATCATACTCATTGTCAGGCTAGACTTACACTTACAAGGAACATATATAGACTCGTGGTGGTATTTTGATTTGGTGATGGCGCATACTTAGAAAATGTTTCTTTGGTTTTGAGTTTAACACGCCTTGTGTTGGAAGCTAATCGTAACGTATTTCTAAGGTATCATTTTCTATTACCAATTGCACAGAGGGAAGGACAACTCGGGAACAAAATGATGTCTCCCTCCTATTTCGTTTCTGGTCAGTTAAGGATGGGAGTGCTTTTAGCTGCCAAATTACCAGAAGTGTTTTGATGGAAATCTCTTACACAAGACAGCATTAAGTAAATTATTTTTAATGATTACAGTTCCCCATTGTATCAAAGGAGCCAGTGAGAGAAATGACACTCCCCAAAACCTTCAACTCCATTTGCTATTTCCAGCACTTTAAAAACATGTGCATTTTCATTTTGTGCAGATATTCATCATTCTTATGTATCCCCTTTTATTCCACAAAATTCTTTTAGAAAATGAATGTTCCAGTTGACCTTCTTGTCTTTGCATATAAATTGCTACTGTATTTTATTGACAGTAGTCTGCAAAGCAGCAACATGTACTGATGGCAACATTTAGATATCAGGAATCAATCAGAAGTTGAAAAATATGACGGAACACATTTCCTTCCTCTTTTTTATTATTTTTTTTTCTTTTGGTGACTGCATTTTCCAGTAAGGGACCTGTCTTCAAAGAGATTGTTTTAATGGCCCTTTCTACTTTTATACAACAAATATCATTTTTCCCCCAACTTATGTGTCTCCACTCGCATATAAGTTGGCAAAACCCATTAGTGGTTGTATGGATCTGTTAGTTGTAAAATTGAAAACTGTGTAATCCAAATTTGATTGAAAGTGTAATGTTAAAGAGTCAATGCCAGGATAAGAGTTATATTTTTCAAACAGGAAATTCTGTTTAAATAATTAAATTTAAAAAAAAAACACCCTAGTTTATTCATTAACTCTCACATTTATCATTTGAAGACTAACATTTTTCAAAAGGGGCCAGTGAGTAAACCACGTTCTGAAAATCAGGCCATATCAAGGTGTCTAAAATTTTGCACCCAAATGTATTTGTTTGAGGCAACCAGAATCATCATCATTTTTAAAACTCTAATCCAAAAATATGCTAGTCAGTGGGTGTATCTACATGTGCCCCTGACTGCACGATACCTACTGGTACTGGGAAGTTCTGGCAGTGCACTGTTATTTTTAGGCTCTACATCACCATAGCTCATTGCTACAGTGACACAGCATCCGTGTCACAGTTTGTGCCCACTGACAGTACGTTGCTGTAGAGTTTCATGTAGATGCGCCCAGTTTTACTTTTCCACTTGCTTACATCTTAACTTTATCTTATGCAGTAGTTGACTGTCATATTTGGATTCTCCTAACAAGTAGGCCTGTGTGAAGCAGCTAGTATTCACTTCGGATTTGGATTCGGCCAATTTAGGGGATAGTGATTTGATTCGGTGATTCGAATCGCTGTCCTGAATCGATTTGGCCAACTCTGATTCAGGGATTCAGCTGCTGCCAAATCACCCAGCAGCACCTGGTGAGTGGGGGCTTTTTTTTTTTTTTAAAGCACCAGGAGCTGGGCTGGGCAGGGCAGCCATGGCGGGGTTGGGGGA